TGCATGCACACAAAAGCTCATACCAATAACAAACTTAGTTGGGTGGCGCTGTGGGTTAAACTACAGAGCCTAGGGCTTGCCGATCAGAAGGTCGGCGGTTCAAATCCCCACGACGGGGTGAGCTCCCATTGCTCGGTCCCTGTTCCTGCCAACCTAGCAGTTCAAAAGCACGTCAAAGTGCAAGTAGATAAATAGGTACCGCTCCGGCGGGAAGGTAAACGGCATTTCCGTGCGCTGCTCTGGTTCACCAGAAGCGGCTTAGTCATGCTGGCCACATGACCTGGAAGCTGTACGCCGGCTCCCTCGGCCAATAAAGCGAGATGAGCGCCGCAACCCCAGACTGGACCTAATGGTCAGTGGTACCACTGCCCCAATCTTCATTTCACAGTGGGTTTGTCTGAAGTGAGGCGCCCAAACACAGCAATGAAATATACGTGAGCATCAGCTTGCATCCACTGTTGACACGGCACTGTGGTGTCTGAAATCATCCTTTCCGCGTGGATGTTAAAATACACTCTTTTTCTGAAACTCTCCCATTTCCTTCAGATACAGTTGCTGATTTAAAGATTCAACTAGCAAGTAATGCTAAGTGAAACCACAACCTAGCGCAAGCCTACCTCTCCGTTACAGCACATGGTTTGAGGCTGGAACGAGACAAGCCATGAGGTTGGGCTTGGACGACCCTCACAGCAGTGCAGTTGCAGGAAGGCCTGGGGAGGAGAAACTATGTGCTAAAGCATGGTTTGGCTTAGCATTACGTGGGAACCGGGTAAAAGAATGGGTGTTGCCGGGTGAACTTCCCACCCTATTGAGTTGTCAATATGCTGGGAACTTCGGTACACTTTGTTCTGGGGAGGATGAAGGCCCGGCAATGTGGACATGGAAGATGGGTAAACAGAAATCCCTGAGCTGTTTTCAAAACAGTGCCAAAGCAGCCACGGTGGGGGTGGCAGCGGAGAGAATCGGATTGTGGTGCTGGAGGAAAGATCTTTATATTTTCTGCTATGAAACAAGGAGCAACTTGGGGCCAATTTGGTTGTGAAAACAACACAAGTTAATACTGCCTTTTGTGCTACAGCGCCTATGCGATTTTCCGACCCCAAGAAAGAGCAGCTGACCAAGAACGTCAAGACTTTTAAAGCAACGAGGTCACCAAATGGTTGGCGTGGCAAAAAAAGGTTTGGTGATCAGGTCTGCTGACTTTGTCTACTCTGACTGGCAACAAGGCTCCAGGGATACAGGGCAGTTAATATTTCCAGCCCTTCCTGGAAACATCAATGATTGAACCTGGGACTTTCTGCATGCTGTATAGAAATGATGATGATGCCAATCAGATGCTCTACCACTGACCTTCCCCCAGAGGTTGTCAAATGTCAGGCAGAAAGCAGTTTTTTGTTATAACTCTTTTCCCTTTGAAATGACATCATTTCTCCTCTCAAGCCAAACTCATTTCTATGGGAAGTTTGTCCACGGGTTCTTTCAGCCGAGCATCAAATCTGCCCTCAGATCCAAGTTCAAATGTGGAAGAGGGAATGAAAACCAACCACAACAAAGCAATCCTTCTAAGGTGAAGGCGTACCAAAAGTATATCCTTGCCACAAATCGGTAGAATGCCCGTTATGCTGTGGTCTGACTGGGAACAAATTTATATTGGTGACATAAATGCATCTTCAGAAAAAGACAGTACCTTTTATTTAAGGTACTGCAAACCAGCCACTGAATGCTGGACCTCTGTTCAGATGGAGACTAGTTTTAATTTTGAAAGGATATTATGCTCACAGGATGAGGTTTGGTTGAGCCCAGTGCTCTTTAAGACAAAGGAGAACAGGAAGGTTAGAAGTCAAACAAACACTGCAGATGAGAATTCCATCTACCGCCCTTTGCATCTGTCTTTCTCCAACAAGGAAAAAAACCCCCAGATAGCATGCAACTGTAGGATAGGCTTTCATCTGAGAGGGGAAAAAATCGAGGATGCTAACAAGCAGCAGCAGGAAAAGCAAGAGGCAGATATTAATGTTGACGGATATTTTGGTAACTATGCAATTGCCTTGCAGGCTAGTGTGCCTTTTCTAGAGCACATCACGCAAGCCAGACTGCTGTACCAAGCAAGCAAGCAGTTTTCAGTTCTTCCTTTAGAATTTCCTCTTCTTCTCTCTACAGGTTTGGCACAAACAGAAAGAGACCCAAATAAACCGGAAAAGATTCTTTTAAAGTTCTTATAAAACTACAGTGGTACCTATGGTTGTGAACGGGATCCGTTCTGGAGCCCCGTTGGCAACATGAGCAGAATGCGACCCGCGTCTGCGGGTCACGATTCGCAGCTTCTGCGCATGACGTCACTTTGAGCATCTGCGCATGCGCAAGCAGCGAAACCCGGAAGTAACCCTTTCCGGTTCTTCCGGGTCGCCGAGGGACGCAACCTGAAAAGATTTAACCTGAAGCAAACATAACAAGAGGTATGACTGTATAAACACACAAACATACGGGAAGACGACTCTTTGCACCAACGAGAGTTGGAGTCTATGTCTGAACTGGGTCAGAAAGCGAGTAACGAGTCTCTAAGGAGGTGATGGAGGAGTCTGTGTGGATAAGAGCAAACTAAGCCCAACCTTACCCTCACATTGGGTAGAAACTGGAAAAGAGACGGACACACGAAACAGAGGACACATGCACAGCTGAACCTTTTGTCTTCTTCAGTTCTGACCCTGTTGCTAAAGAGACAAGGTGATGCCTTAAGATGAACAGATGCTACTCTCTTCAGCAGTAGGAAAGTCGATGAGAAAAACAAAACGGGCTGCTGAGCAACAGAGCCAGAAGTTGTTTGACGGCCCCTTATAAATTCTATGTGAACAGGTCTGTAATGGTCATTTGCTGTTCACACGTGGCTAAAAAGGGTCACTGCTAGGCAGGGAATGGGTGAATCTGTCATTTTCACTAAGGCATGCTTTTTCTTTTTGCACACTTCTTCCTAACAGGTGGATCTTCTGGGAAGTATAAACTTCACAGGATTTTGGTGTGCATATTGCTTTGCGAAGTGTGAATTAAGTGAAACAAGTTTCTTCCCTGCTTTCTAGGTTAATGATCAGGAAAGCTTCTTCAAACTATAATGGAGGTGTGTGGAATGCCAGGCCAGTACATTTTTTGGCCAAAGGTTTTTACTTTACTATTATTTATCGTTTATACAGTGCGATCAGCGTGCATGACACTTTACAGAGGACAAATCCCTAGCTCAAAGAGCTTGCAAACTAAAAATTGGACACAGGAAAACAACTTGGGGGGGGGGGGGAGAGAAAACCTTTGCAGAATCCTTGTTTTAACAAGCCCAGTTTTCCCCCCTTTGATGGCACATTTATCCTGTTTCTCATTCAGGACTTCCAAGGTCTAAAAGCACTAATGAGCCTTTGCAAAGTAGATATTAGCCATCTGAGGGGGAAGAGAAAGAAAACTATTTCAGATTATGGGCTCGGTATTCAGATCCTGCCCATTAAGGAGAAGAAAGGAAGCATCTTATCTATTTCAGTGGGCTTTCTATCATGCCCCCATGAACATTGGCCCGCGGTAACAAAGGAGCCTTGTGGCCTGGCCAAAAATAGAACCCAAAACTCCAGCCTCCCCCAAACCAGAGCCTTTCAGGAGGAGAACTGGCCATTTACAGTAGAACAAAAAATAGATTAGAGGAAGCCTTTCAGTGAGAAAATGCATGGCGAATAAAAATTGAGGGAGCAATGGCAATGTCAGCACATTTCAGGGACAGTTCCTTTTTTTTTAATGAGGTAAACAGAGGACACTTCCAATGTAGTTATGGATTGTGGCAGGAGGGGGCTACAGCAGGGGGGCTATCCAAGCACATGGGATGCAAGCGACGGACCCAAATTTGATGAGTGTAAAAAAAATATAGAGGGGCCCTTCAAACAGAGAGCACATCCTTATTTCTCTCCCCTCCAGAACTAACCACTTCCAAAATTATGTTAGTGGGGTAAATGGTGCTTCTTTCCATAAAGTTGTGCCCTCTGTATGAAGTCCCATCAGCCCCAGGCAGCATGGCTGATGGCCAGGGATGATGGGAGTTGTGGTTAAAAAGCAGAAAGCAGAGACATCACCTTGCCAACAAAGGTCCTTATAGTTAAAGCTATGGTTTTCCCAGTAGTGATGTGTGGAAGTGAGAGCTGGACCATAAAGAAGGCTGATCGCCGAAGAATTGATGCTTTTGAATTATGGTGCTGGAGGAGACTCTTGAGAGTCCCATGGACTGCAAGAAGATCAAACCTCTCCATTCTGAAGGAAATCAGCCCTGAGTGCTCACTGGAAGGACAGATCCTGAAGCTGAGGCTCCTGTACTTTGGCCACCTCATGAGAAGAGAAGACTCCCTGGAAAAGACCCTGATGTTGGGAAAGATGGAGGGCACAAGGAGAAGGGGACAACAGAGGATGAGATGGCTGGACAGTGTTCTCGAAACTACCAGCATGAGTTTGACCAAACTGCGGGAGGCAGTGGAAGACAGGAGTGCCTGGCGTGCTCTGGTCCATGGGGTCAAGAAGAGTCAGACACGACTATACAACAACAACAACATCTGGAGGGCACAATTTATTTATTTACATCCTGCCTCCCCCCCCCCCAAGGTGGCCTACGTGGTTCTCCTTCTCCACATTTAATTCCCGCCAAACATCCCTAGGAGGTAGGTTAGGCTGAGGGACAGTGACTGTCCCAAGGACACCCAGTGAGCTTCATGACCGAGTGGGGATTTGAACCCAGATCTCCCAAGTCCTATTCCGACACTCTAACCACTACGTGACACTGCCTATACCCGATGTAGCATATTGGGAACTCTTTTGTCACCATAAAACCATCTTGTTTGTGAACTGAAATCTTCTAAGGATTTCCCCCCCTACAGACGACCTGAAAATTGCTGGGGGTCTTGGCAGATCATTTCACGATTTTAATGCCAGCTGTAGCAGTTGTGATGCGCTGCAGTAGGTGCTGTATTGCTTTTTAATTATATTTCTATTGCTTCTTTTATTTCTTATATACTCCGTTTCATAGAATTCTAACTGTGAAACGGAGCAAAATATAAGAAACAAAAGAAGCAACAGAGAGATGACAAAATCAATGCAAATATTTAATGCAATGGTTGCAACCATCTCCAAACTCCTGCATCAGAGATTCCCCTTTTTAAAATTTCCACATTTCTTGATAATAGAGAATGAATCTCAAAGGGCACTGCACAAAAAGCCACACTGATCAGAATAGGACCCGGAGCTATTTTTAAGGGCAACTTTCAAGATGTTTAATAATACTGTGACTTCTTGGAAAGGAGAGTTCTCTGGTGCTTGTTACCAAAGATTCATTAGTTTTTAAACACACACACACACCAATGCTAACCGACAACGAAAACCTGAGTTTGGGAGTTGGACCCTGGAACGGCAAGAACATGCATCTCATTCTTATTAATGAATTCCTCCCCCTTCTTCCCAGTGAAAAGCCTTTGCTGCAAATTAATTAAGGGCATACTTCAACTTATATTTTCATGAAGGAGCGATCCCCCCCTCTTAATTTAAAATTGAAAAATAAGAGATAACCAGTGCCCTTGATGCGTTCTCATTGTAGCTAATGGGGGGAAAGACTAGCCTCAAAGACACTGTGTCTGTTCCCATCTCATAGTCAAAAGCTGTTTGGTGGTGAAGAGCTAAGGGTTGTTTTGCAGCGGGGGGGGGGTTGATGTTTGTGTGTGCATGCGCGCATAATCAGCCATGCAAAATAACAGAAGTGTAAAAACAAGTACTGCAGTCTATTTAAATGCAAATTAATTACTTGCTTAAACAAAATTATGTTCTCGGGATAATTTTTGTAAGTATGCACCAAGGTGTGCGCATTTTGGGCAGACACTCCCCCAATGCATAAAAGGGCACCTTGGAAAGACCTCTTTGCCCAAGACTCTGCAGCGGATGGGGGACTGTAGTCCAAAATTTCTAGAAGGCAACAAGTCACAGAAAGCTGAACTAGAGAATCAAATACCGTTTATAGGGGGCAAACTGCACTGCAATCGTTTTCTAGGTTCCGTCCACAAGCAATTTTCTTAACGGGGGGGGGGGGAGATACTACAGCATGCAACTTCCATGATAGGGAACAGCAATAATATGGTCCACAGGATTATTGGTAATCCCAGTGTGACTAAACAGGTTACGCGACCATGAAGGAGAGTTTGAGGATCCCATTCCTCTCCTTTCCTGCATGCAAGTAGATCTGGTAAAGGAAGTCTTTTAAAAACTGAAAAATACTCCAGCGCACCTGATCCATGGATGTATCTGTGGCCTCATGTTAGTGCTACTGCAAATCCCCAAATAAAAATAAATGCTAATCCAAGGTAGCTAAGAAACCATGTCAAGAAAACCTGGTAGCCCAACAGACTTTTTCACATTCTCAAAGCACATATGTACACTAGTGGCCAAAATTGTGGAAAGCTTTTGGGAAAAGTCTATTTCTGAGGTTTGATGGCTCATAACACCACTTTTTTCAGATAAAATTATATACCAATGGAAAGATAATTTAATGAAGAATGTAATGCAACAAAGTTTGTTCAATTACCTGTATTCTATCAAAAGTTCTAGCCAAATAACCAGAAGAAGGAAGCACAACTTGCTTAGGTTAGTATGCAGTCACTTTCCTTCATTTGAATGGTCGTTATTCCATCTAAACTGGGTTTAGGAAGTATTGGCTTAATTTGCTTTTTCAAAAAGCTGTGTCTGCATGTAACAAACAGATGTGAACACTGATTTTGTGTGCGTTAAATTGTTCTGTAACTTACGTAGCTAAACGAAGTGTTGAACAAAGACTGAAGCCAACCACTTCCAGGTTTAAAAAAACAGGAGCCTGGCAATGAGCGTTCAATAGCTCGTGATGACCTATTCAATTATGAAAGCAAATGAGTTTCCAATATCCACAGCAGGGTCCATTTCATATCATAAAGGCCAGAACATTCGATTGATCACATTTTATCTGAAGCAGCTCAGGGTAAAGTTAACATCAGCGAATGAAAGGTTGACATGGTCCATTAAACTGCAATTTTTAGGTTACTCAACAGCACATGCAGCATTTTGCATGGGAAGCAGATTCTTGAGAATGGGAAGATATTCCGGCAAAAGTCAGAAACGGAGCCTTTGCATGCACTCCCAATGCGTTGATGAAGCTCAAATATTGGTGACTCTGGCACATAACGTACTTGGGCAATCCAAATTGCAGCCACCAGTTCCCTATCACAGAACCCTATCCCTTGCAATGCAGGAATCTCAATATGAGGCCCCCCCATCCAATTTTAAACCATAACAGACCCTGCTTAGCTTTGTTACACAGTTTTATTGCTGTGTGCTTCTTTCATTGATGTAAGTGGGGCTGCTGATTAAGGTTGGGTATCACAGTGTGTCCTGAACAAACTGCCAGAACATCTACAAAACTGGAGCTCCTCTGCCATGGACACAGTTTATTCTCCAGCAATGGAGAGGCACGCCTGGATTAATTGCTGCCACCAACAGTGCAGGAAAACAGTCATAAAATCACAGAATTATAGAGTTGGAAGGGATCCTGCAGATTATCTAGTCCAGCCCTTTGCAATGCAGGAATATGCAGCTGTGCCATATGGGTATCGAACCAGCAACCTTGGTGTTATCAGCAGCACACTCCTAACCAACTGATTTATCCAGCGGGTGGCACTGTGGTCTAAATCACTGAGCCTCTTGTGCTTGCCGATCAGAAGGTCGGTGGTTCAAATCCCCATGATAGGGTGAGCTCCTGTTGCTCTGTCCCAGCTCCTGCCAACCTAGCATTTTGAAAGCACGCCAGTGCAAGCAGATAAATAGGTACCACTGTGGCAGGAAGGTAAACGGCGTTTCCTTGCGCTCTGGTTTCCGTCACAGTGTTGCGTTGCACCAGAAGCGGTTTAGTCACGCAGGCCACATGACCTTTGGACAAATGCCGGCTCCCTTGACCTGAAAGCGAGATGAGCGCCGCCACCCCATAGTCGCCTTTGACTGGACTTAACCGTCTGGGGTCCTTTACCCTTTACCTTACCTTAGTTGCAACTGTTAGCCTTATCCTCCATTAATTTGTCTAATCCTTTCTTTTTAAAAGCCATCTTGTGCTCACTATTCATTGGGGATGGGGGTTGAATTCCATAATTTAGCTAAGTGTTATGTGAAGAACTTTCTTTTATTTGCCCTGAATCTTCCAAGGTTCAACGTCATCAGATGGTCCCTGAGTTCTACTGCTATGAAAGAGGGAGAACAGCTTTTCTCTACAGTGGTACCTCTGGTTACGAACTTAATTCGTTCCAGAGGTCCGTTCTTAACCTGAAACCATTCTGAACCTGAGGTACCACTTTAACTAATGGGGCCTCCCACTGCCGCTGCGCCGCACAATTTCTGTTCTCATCCTGAGGTAAAGTTCTTAACCCGAGGTACTACTTCCGGGTTAGCAGAGTCTGTAACCTGAAGTGTTTGTGACCTGAGGTGTTTGTACCCCGAGGTACCACTGTATTCAGTTTCTCCACACCACATATAATTTTCAAAACATCTGGCATGTCAAACTGCTCTTACTTGCTTTTTTTCTCCAAACTAAAAAGCCCCCAAATGTTGCAACCTGTTCTTGGGGGAGGGAGAGAAATTGCTCCATCCTCTTGATCGTTTTGGCCGGCAGACATCAAATGGATTATCACCCGGGAGTTGTAGATTTAAAGGCCATTGCACAAGGGCAAAGGGTGTTATAGCACTCAGGTGCCATGGAGACTTTATTCGGGAGCTTGGCTTAACAGGGTTAACATGTACAGGATTGTTAAGGTGCTCAGTGGATTGTAATGCACTCCGAGTTCCTCTCAGGAACTTCTCCTTTGGAATTACAAATTATTCCCGTACCATCTGCAGTTTTATGCTTAGCAGGAGTTAAAAAGAACCCATATTCAGCAATACCAAAGAGAACGGCATTTCCTGACGGCAGCACTTCTGCTCGGCCAATTAAATCCCTTCTGACGGGGTGAGGATTGAGGAAACGTTCAAGATTGATTTAGTCTGTTGCATGGTTTCGCTTTGAACCTTCTCACAGCAAAGAAAATGGAGGCCTTTGTGAATACTTATCAGTACATTGAGAACTCTAAAGAATCCTTCTGCTAATAGGACACCCCCCAAAAAAATATGATAATCTCCTGTGGTTTCTTTACAATGGGGATTATATCCCCACTGCATGTGTTCTTGGGGGGTGGGTTAGCAACACAGAAAGCAAGCAGTAACTTGTAACTGTACTCATTCACTTTATTTTCCAACCCAGTTAAAATATCTGCATCTATACCTCTAGCCTTCACCAATCAGGTGTCCTCAAGATAACATTGGACTACCAACACCCGTCATTCCTGGACTGATGGATACTGGAATCCGACACGACCTGGAGGGCATCAGCAGGGTAAGACTGTACTAGGATGGCAGTCTTCAGAAAATCTCAGTCCACCTTTGACCCCCAAACATTGACAACCAGCGTAGTATAGCAATTAGTGTGTCAGACAAGGACTGAGGAACACAAGGTCAAATCCCTGCTCAGCCACAAAAGGTGCCGGACAACCTTGTACAACTCACCATCTCTCCTCTCATCACAAAAACTCTTCTTGGAAGAGGTTGACAAGTTGTTCATAGCTGGGGGGAAGAGCATGTTCGGGCCCTGTGCTTTTTGGGAGGAAAGTAGGATAAAATGCCATCAACCAACTAACCAACTTGAAAAGATGAAGAGTGGATGTCCATCTTCCTGGTTTTCTTCCTTCTCTCCCCCCCCACCCCCGCATCCTTTTCTTTTAGAAAAGCTGTGGAAAACCTGTGGACCTCCATATGTTGTTGTACTCAAACTTCCATCAGCTCCAGCTAGCAAAGACGCTGGCCAGAGATGTTGGGAGCTGTAGTCTATCATCACTTTGATGACCACAGATTCCCAAACTCTTGTTAGAAAGGCAACTCCTTAAATAACTCTACGCAACATGGTTTATGACAACAAAATATACAGCAAAGATATAACACCTTATAGCAACCTGATCCAATTACAAAAAAGTTGTAATGAAAACACAGC